CAGTACAACATTGGTCTAGTTGTATCATTTATCCTAGAAAACTAGTTTATTGTAGCAGTACAACATTGGTCTTGTTGTATCATTTATCCTAGAAAACTAGTTTATTGTAGCAGTACAACATTGGTCTTGTTGTATCATTTATCCTAGAACCCCCCCCTCTATACCCCTTAGAATGTACATTGTACATACAATTGGAACATGGAACAGTCAATAGGTTTATTTTTACAAATTTTATGAAAGGTTAAATGGATTTATAGATACCTGATAACTTTCTTAAATCTAAGTTTAAAAACTTGTCTTGAATGAGGAGCAGATACAGAAAACTCCTCAGCTCTGCTCGAACTTTAAAAAGAACAAATAAATTACATAAAATAAATATATTTGAAAAATCTGTAAACCCAAGGGAATTAACAACCACAAATAGAAAAATCTTTGAATCAGCCTGCAGCCTGGTGTCACTGACTCCTGTATTTATGTTTGTATGTATTTAAGTATAAATTTTGTTAGACCAATAATTTAAAGTTTTAAATATCAAAAGACAATCATGTTTCAAAGATATTTGGGATGGAAATTATTTAAAAAAGTCCATCCCTAGTATGCCTCTGTTTTATCCAGAATATTAAAGTATTCTTTATATTCCTAGCAGGAGTAGGAGGATTATGCAAAGGATCATAAAGTTTGGAAGTCAGGGAATAAATGTAATTTTACTATTCATACTAACCCTAAAAACTATGGATATCATTCGAACTCAGACATGAACAAATTTGAAATTTTATTTTTATTGTCTAGTATCAATTTAATTATGTTTGATGCGGAAAGAATTCAAGTTTTAAAAAATGATTTCAGGCCAAAAAGTTTATTTTATTTGAGAGCAAATTGTTAACAACTACATTTGCCTAAATAGTATGCGAATTGGTTTTAAAATTGTGTATTGAAGTGTCAATTTGACAAAGTATTGGTCTGAGGCTATTGAAATTTTTTGACTTTTCCTACATACCCAAAACCCTCCCTTTAGGCCTAAAACCGGGCTTTAATACTAACTGCCTGAGTCCTCAGGCACACTGCCTGAATGACTGCTTTTTCCAGTAACAAACTAAATCTTTGTTTTGACCCACTTCTACTTGTTAGATTTTGATAAAATTTAGCTTTTTGGAAAGCCTATGACATAAGGAAACGGATTGCACAAGTTTTGCGAAAAAAAAATTGCAAATTTTTTGCAAACAACCTGTCAAAGGAAATTTGCACATTTTTAGTTTTTCTTGATTAAAAATCAGGTTATTTAAAATTTTCCAAAAATTTTTGCATATTTGAAATGGCATGGTCAAGGGCTTTTTAAAAATGTATAATTTATCATTTTTTGGACAAATTTTTTTGTTTCAAAATAACTGGATTTTGCGATAAAAAATTCAATTTTTGCAAATTTGCAAATTTTTTTGCAGATTCGAAAAGTAGAGCAAAAGAGCTTTCCAATGATGTATCATTTGTCATATTTGGACATCAAACATGGGATTTAGAGGGGGGGGGGGGTCAAATTGACCCCCCCAGCATATCCTGGTTTTCAAGTACCCCAGCAGAGATAGGGTTAAAAAGAAAACTGGTTTTAAATCTGACGCAGATTGGAATTTTATTCCCCTGTAATATTTTAACTATACATAACTATATATAGGGTTACAAAGGATTATACTGTTCAGACCATCTTAGACTTATAATATATTAAAATTACAAGGTTAAATTAAGTCTGCTGTCGTGAATATATGTCTTTTATTGGCTTATTTGATAACGTGGCAATCAAAAACAGATTTTTAGTTGTAGAGAATCATGAATATACGGAGATATACAGTATACATTCCAAACAGTCGTCTCTGAAGTCTCATCCTTTGTGAGTAACCATGAAATTAAACAATATTCTGAGGTCGAATTTAAAGCGGCGGCTTAAATTCAAGCCGTGGCTCAAATATGGTTGGTTTCACTTAAAATTGTATTCAATGTTTCAAGATTTAAGCCGGCGCTTAATTGAAACCAATATTTGGCGGATTTAAGACGCGGCTCAAATTCATTAAATTCGGACACTGTTAAAAAAAAGGGATTAATTTTGATACTAATAATGAATTAGAGTAGAAAATTCTATATAAACCTTGGTTGGGTGTTATCAAAGTTGATTTTATCTCCATTACTATTTGGAACTGCAAACCTTACAGTTCAAACCACATTTAATCAAAAATAAATTGAGAGTTCACTTGAATCACTTCTCTTCATCTTGACAAAGAGAAGTGGTTCAACTTAGTCGATGCAGTTCAACTATATTTATTTTGTTTATTAAATCTGGTCCCTGAATCCGAAGCCAGCAGGTCCACTAAACTCAGGACTAGTCCCATATATGATCTGACTCGGTTCTAAATACTAAACTCAGGACAAGTCCCATATATGATCTGACTCGGTTTTAAATACTAAACTCAGGCTAGTCCATATATGATCTGACTCGCTTCTCAATACTAAACTCAGGACTAGTCCCATATATGATCTGACTCGGTTCTAAATACTAAACTCAGGCTATTCCATATATGATCTGACTCGCTTCTAAATACTAAACTCAGGACTAGTCCCATATATGATCTGACTCGGTTCTAAATACTAAACTCAGGCTATTCCATATATGATCTGACTCGCTTCTAAATACTAAACTCAGGACTAGTCCCATATATGATCTGACTCGGTTCTAAATACTAAACTCAGGCCNGTATATGTGTATATGTGTATATGTGTATATGTGTATATGTGTATATGTGTATATGTATATATGTGTATATGTGTATATGTGTATATGTGTATAGTATTAACTAAAAGATCAACTTTTTAGTGGTAATTTAAGCAGTGGGCATTTACTAGCCTTTATATGTTTTGTCTAAGTCATACTTACAAGGGCTTTGTCCATGGCAATATGCTTGAAGTACTTTGTTAGTGGCTTGGTAATGTGCTTAATAGAGCTTTGCCTGTGTGAATACACATTAAAAGGCTTTGTTTGTGGCCTAGCAATATGCTTAAAAGGGCTTTGATTGCAGGCAACATGCTCAAAAAATCTTTGACTGTGGCTATATGCATAGAAGGGTTTTGTCTTTGGCAATATATGTATTTACTAGGACTTTAATTGAATTTGTATCTAGAGAGTCTATGAATCAGCCTGTATCTAGAGAGTCTGGTTTAAGATTATGAATATGCCTGTATCTAGTGAGTCTGATTTAAGATTATGAATCTGCCTGTATCTAGTGAGTCTGATTTAAGATTATGAATCTGCCTGTATCTAGTGAGTCTGGTTTAAGATTATGAATCAGTCTGTATCTAGAGAATCTGACTTAAGATTATGAATCTGCCTGTATCTAGTGAGTCTGATTTAAGATTATGAATCTGCCTGTACCTAGTGAGTCCTGTTTAAGATTTTGAATCTGCCTGTATCTAGAGAGTCTGATTTAAGATTATGAATCTGCCTGTATCTAGAGAGTCTGATTTAAGATTATAAATCTGCCTGTATCTAGAGAGTCTGATTTAAGATTATGAATCTGCCTGTATCTAGAGAGTCTGATTTCAGATTATTAATCTGCCTGTATCTAGAGAGTCTGATTTAAGATATGAATCAGCCTGTATCTAGAGAGTCTGATTTAAGATTATGAATCTGCCTGTATCTAGTGAGTCTGATTTAAGATTATGAATCTGCCTGTATTTAGTGAGTCTGGTTTAAGATTAAGAATCTGCCTGTATCTAGAGAGTCTGGTTTGAGAAAAGATTTAAAAATGAAGATTGCTCCAGGCTTATCAGTTTCACCATAGAAAGGAGCCCCAACAACAACTTCCTAAATTTTAAATATTTAAAATTTAAAAAGTTGTTGTTGGGGCTCCTTTCTATGGTGAAACTGATAAGCCTGGAGCAATCTTCAAAATTAAAACACGACTCAATTTATTCCGACTCTCCTTAAAAAAATGTCATGTAACGAAATGTATATTAGTGTTTACTAATATTTAAAATTTAAAAATAAAATAAGTAGAACAGTCTTTAGACTCTATGAGTCATAAAACTAGAGAACGACTGTAATATACAGGGTGTCCCACATCAAATTAGACCGTGTCAATAAGTCTAAATTACAATTTGAGGGACAAATCAGAAAATTTAAGAAGAATGAATCATTTTGAAAAATTTAATAAGGCTAACAGAAATTATTTTTTGCAGAAAATGCTAGATTTTTTGAGTATTATTATTGTATATGAATAAAAATCAATAACGCAATGCACTGAGTTTCTCAAATATTCTACGAGTCGGTTTTTCTTACGATATATTTATATACAAAAGATACAAAATTTAAATCGAGCGATACTTATACAAACTAAATATTATGAATCAAATCAGTTTCATCAAATAGGGGAATTCTACAAGGGAACCTAACAAATAGGGAGCTGGTCTTCAACTGCCTTTTTTCCCTCTATTTCGCTCCACCCTAGGTTCGCATTCTACCCCACGCCCCGTGAGCTGGCCGGCCAGCCCACCAGCTCCCGGGTTCGGAGATAACGGATTTCTCCGCGTGGCTTGGGTTAAATATAGAAACCAAACATAAACAAGAAAACCTGTTAAACATCAAAAAGGGGGGGGGGAAGGCAAAATGGGGTTGAATGCGAACGAAGGGTGAAAATAATGACAAACAAAATGCTATTTACAGTCTCAGGAAAGATCAAAACATCATTTTCCTGCTACATTATGTGCGTATTTTGGCGTTAAAGATTGGAGATAATCTAATATGATATGGGACGCTCTGTATATACTTAATCTCTGATATATGAAATTGATAGAGGAATAAAGTATAATTAGAACAGTCTTTAGACTCTATGAGTCATAAAACAGAGAACGACTGTAATATATATACTTAATCTCTGATGTATGAAATTGATAGAGGAATAAAGTGTATCGTTGTGAATCGGACTTGTCACTTTTAAAATGGAGGTTTACTTGAAATTACGTTTAGAGTTTCCTCTAATGATACTTATTAACATTATTAAAAGTGACAAAACCGTTCCTGAAGTTTTAATTTGCATGTAGGTTGGATTGCCTTCAACACTTGAAACTGTTAATTTATTCCCACCTGTTAAAGTATTCCCACCTGTTAATGTATTCCCACCTGTTTTCCATCGAAGTCTGTATCTCCAAGACAAGCTATTGATCGCCCAAACATTGCTCCAGATACCTTTCTACAGTAAACAATATAAATTGGTGTCCTAATAATCATGGAAACGAAATAACAAATTTTACGTCGTCTTCATTTGGCACTTTTCGCAGACGCAATATTAGTTGTTTTCTAGTTAAATTAAAACGCATGTCACCAAAATGTGGTCTAAATATATTACAAGATACAGTAAAGTATGACTACATTCAGAGATTAAACATTTAATTTAAATTAAAAGATTAAACATTTAAACTCCTATTGACTAAAAGCAGTTTTATTCTTGCACGACTATATATAAGGATTAGATCTCTCTCTCAGGGAATATCAAAACCAAAAATCCAACTTCTATGAAAAGAATTGAGTCTTTGCCGCAAACTCTGGTTTTTTAATCCCCATATCTTTGCAACCCAATATCGCAGACCTTTAGATTATAATTTCTGTTAAATATAAAAGATTTACAAAGGTTGCAAATATTTCGGGATTAGATAATTTGGGTTTGTGACAAATACTTAATTCCTTTAAATTTAATTTTGCAAATGATTTAATCACTTTCTTACTTGATCATCTCTTCCCCCAGCATATTAGTTTTCTCTAGGTTAAATTTGAATCTATCATTTTTATTCCATCTGTTGGTGTAAACATAAACTGCCCCGGTATCATAGTTCTAAACAATATTCTTGTTATAATATTTATAGAGAAATTATTCAACTAATGTGATTAAACAATATCTTTAAAAATAAATTATTGTATCCACAGACAAAAAACTGAGTGATAGATAAATTTCAAAATTGTTAGGTCGGGTGAAGAAAAAAAAATGTTCGAATAGTCCTAAAATATAAAAACTGAAATCTTGCAAAAGCTTAAATTTTCTAATCCATTATCTATCTAGCAGAGCTCAAAGTTTTGAATATTAATGGTAAATTACATCAGGTTTTAAATATATAAGGATTAGAAAATTATAGTTTAGTCCAGTATTTAATTTCTTTAGATAATTGCCTTGTTATTTGCTGTGTAGAATGGTGCACCAATTAATAAATCATCTTTCCCATCTCCTAATAAATAAATAAATCAACTTTTAGATTTTCCCTGCTGCATAGGATCATTGGATATAGAAAATAGAGATGGACATCGTTTTCTTGAACGAACAAAATTTTTAAGAACGAAAAAAAATTTCACGGAAAATTGTCGTTCAGAGGAAAAAACAAATGATGGATGAACGAAATGGATCGTTCAGAGAAATAAAAAATTATCGTTTTTTAAAATGAACGAAAAAAAACGAACAATTTCACTGAACAAATGGTTTTACTGAACAAACGAAATAGATAGAAAATGGACGATAATTTTGAAAACGAACAAAATTAAGTGAAACGGTTGAAAAAAAACGAACAAAATGGATCGTTCACAAACGATGAACGAACAAAAGGAAAAAAGTCGAATTAGGCCATCTCTATTGGATAAACGAAATTATGTATTAAGATCGAAATTTTGTACATATAAGATGACACTTTTCAACCTGTAAACTTGACTTTTGGCTTAAACTGTAAAAAATAACTAACCATTTTTTTGTCTATATGAATTCACCTAAACAATATTTCAGGGATAAAAAATGAATTACGAGGTTTTATCAGTTTTTGATTATAATTCTAGAGAGTTCTGATTTTATAATCCATTGAAATTATACAACCCAATGTCGTTATAGAAGTTAGGTCAAATAATTTAAGTTTGAAATATCAAAGGTTTACGCCATCAGGTTGCAAAGATATAAGAATTGCAAATACTCAATTCCTTTCTGCAAAAATCAAATCCTTGGGTTTCTTTCAAATTCTAAGATTAAACATAAACTTAAAGCTTAATTCACAAGTTTTGGATTTACTTCATACCTTCAACCACGTTTAATTTAACTTTTAAGATTTTAACCAAAGTTTTAAATTAAAAGTGAACTTTTTGTGATAACTGTTTTATTAACACTGGTCCAATCGCTGCATGATCCAAACCAAAGTGTATTTCAGGTACTGAGTTAACCCGAAATTTTGCACAAAATACTTCTTTCTTAAAGTTGAGTCTGATTTAAAAACAATTAAATAAGATGCCCGATTCACAACGATGGAAGCTTTGTCTTCTCAAGTATGAAATGAATAAATTTTGTAAATTTTTAAATCTGATAATTTTTAATTGTGGTTTCTCTACAAAAGTGACATGCGCATTTCTACTACAGGAAAACATATAGGAGTTATCAGAATCAAACACTTTAAAGCTCGACAATGTCTTTAACAAAATCGATCAAATAACGATATCAAGGATACCACTGGGAATTGGGAATACCATTCTTTGCACAAAGGACCACTTTAAATTCCGAGTACAGTCCCTTGATTCAAGTTCTTACCATTAATATCACAAGCTGCAGCTGTAAAACCAAACCCTTCGCCCCCAGTGTTCCCTTGAAGTTCCTGATTCTTGAAATCTGATCTAAATAAATATTTTTTATGTATTTTTCTTTCAGACAAACTACTGTAGTAAATGTATTTTAACTTAACTAGGAATTCCGTTGCGAGGAGTTGCACCAAATTGTGCGGAATTTCGCGGAATACGCCCCAGTATAGAGAGCCTTTCCATTAATATAATTACCGATCAATTTACAATCTAAGCTTCAAAATTATTTGATCCAGAATTTAAAAGTCACAACATCGGGCAAAGATAAAGGGATTAGAAAATCAGAGTTTGTAGCAACGACTCAATTCCTTTAAACATCCATAGACCTGCCATGTATTTGAAAAGAAACATGTAACTCAAAGAATTGAGATTTTTTTGGAAATGCTTTTTTAACAAGGGAAGTACACTCTTGAATGCCGAGTCCATTAGCACCCGATCCAATCAGGGTTCACTCATGTGTTTGTTGTCTATTCTGAACCAATAGAAAAGTATGGCGGTAACATCTATCTTTCTATCTATCCATTTAGAGCTATAAATCCTTCAATCGGTGCTTTCAGTAAAAAGAAATATTCACTTCTATTGAAACTAGAGTGAGTAAGAGACCAGTGTCCGAATTTAATGAATTTAAACCACGTCTCAAATCCCCCAAGAACTGTTTTAATTGACCGCTGGCTTAAATCTTGAAAAATTTAATACAAATTTAAGTGGAACCAACCATATTTGGGCTGCGGCTTAAATTTAAACCGTGGATCAAATTCTTTAAATTCGGCCTCAGAGCTGAAAACTTTAGAATGAGATATCCTTAACCCCCTCCCGTTTCTGTATAAAATCTTAAATGGCGCGCAAAATTTCAAATTCATCGGCTTCATATACCCGACTCTGATTGGTTGAATTTTATGCACTTTTCAAGATTAGATTAGTTTCGATATTAAGAAAAAGAGAGGATCAAGCATTAATCTCGATATCCACCATTCTAAAGTTTTCAGCTCTGTAAATCCTCTTTCCAATAGATAATACATGTATCAAAATAAAAATTTGAGCTCTTGAAACCCCAGAGAACTAAACGGAGATACTAAACATTTGAATAATTTTATTGCTATTTGAAACATTATTCTCTGCACAGATTTCTTAATAATCTTAACTTTGAAGTTGCAAATATGGTGAACCACATTTTGGAATTACCAGGACTAACTAAATCACTAACTGCCTTGACTGGAATACTTCTGCCGAACAAAGACGATATATAAATGGTCAATGAGGTCTCATTTTCATTGGGACAATCTGTACCTGATTCCATTACAGTTTCCACAAACATACAGTTTCCCTGTATGAAAATCTGCCCCTGGAGCACCAATTATCAATTCTCTCTCACCATCGGAGAATTTACCTAAACCAACTATATTTAAAGAACTGTAACACTGTAACCGTGCTAAATTAAATTAAATTGATTGCGTATATCTTTCGCGGTTATACAGAAACAATGGAGAAATTCACAGAAATTAACACTTTCAAATAAAAAAAAAGACGCTATCTATATATGTATATAAAGTAGTAATCTCTATCTGTTTGTTTGGATATTCGATCATAAATCAGGAAGCTTTCGACCGATTTGCCTCAAATTTGTAATGAAGAACTCGGAAGAACCACGGGAATGTTCACAGCTTGATTTTAGCTGGGCAGCTATGGATTCTCAGCTAGTCATATTTTTATGAGATTTCAACTGTACCTTTCTAAATCAGGCATTGCCATCTTTACATGTAAGGTTACACTGCACTCTCACTTCAAATATGTTCCCTAGCCAGTCTCTCCCTTTAATATTCAAGGTATTGTCCTTTAATTATTTTATTTACCTTTTCCTACAAAATATCCCGCCAGAAAATAATTAGGATTTGTCCATCTTGAAATACCATTTCCATAAGAAAATGGAGGTGTTGGATTACTACTGGGAAACTTAATCTGCCCTTTTTCAACCTTTAACAAATATTTATATGAACTTATTGAAGAATTCTGAAAAAAATAGATTTTTTTTCTTTTAAAAATATTATATATATTTCATTGATACTGATCTGCTTTATTTCAATTTCTTTAGGAAGATTCATTAGATTCAGATGAACACCAATTCAATTTAAAAAGATTAAATATTTTTTAATGTAAGTTTACAAGGTTAAAGAAAGGAGGGGGGGGGGGGGGCATTCTGTTTTTAAAAAAAGATTGAGATGAAAAAAGTATTTAAAATGTTTATAAATGTACACCTCTGATATTAATCCTGTATAAAGATGAATCTGTGATCCGTCCAGCTGCGGGTTGTAGGGGCCGCCAACTAACAATTCAACAACATTATATAAAAATGTCTTTTTCAAAGGTTCAAAGCGAAATCAAACATTACTTTGTTAATAAGGATTTAAGCTTTTGCCCCAGACTCTGACTTTTTAATCCTTTGCAACCTGATGTTGTAGATCTTAAGTATTTTAAACCATCAATTATATTTGATCAAATTATCTAAGTTTGAAATACCAAAGGTTTACACCATCAGATGCAAAGATGTAGGGATTTGAAAACTTGAGTTTGTGGCATAGCCTCAATTACTGTAGACGAACTTTTAACATTTGTCTGATCAATTATCAATAATCATTCTTATTTCAAGTGAAAAGGAGTTTAGGTTAACAATAATTTTAGATAAAGGTGTGAGCAATGAAAACTAAATTAAAGACAATTTAGTTTTAATTGTGTAATTTTTCAAAATGTTTAGTTTTAAAATTGTTCCTATAAGAGACCCAGAATCTGTGATTGTGGCGCTAAATCCATAAATTCCTACTCCAAAGAACATCTTCTTCCCTCCAGGACTAGTGCTGTAAAACATGTATTTTAAACATTTTTGTTAGTTACAGCCAGCCAAACTATAACACACACGTTGGTCGGCATTTTCATCAATACAATGAAGACAACTTTTTATTTAAGTTTTGAGTATTACCAAAGATAAAATGTAAATGGCTAAATATTACTATTTATAAAATAAAATAAAATAAAATAATTTGAAATAAATGAAATATTTATGACAATAAACCATCAATTTTATTATTGATTTATTGTCCCTCAAAAGCTCCCTTCCATATACGGAAAATTCCATTTATACATCCAACATCCTTCCATATTTTATTGATTTTTTTGTCCCTCAAAAGCACCCTTTCATAAACGGAAAATTCCATTTATATATGCAACATCCTTCCATATTTTATTGAGTTTTTTTGTCCCTCAAAAGCACCCTTCCATTTACGGAAAATTCCATTTATATAGGCAACATCCTTCCATATTTTATTGATTTTTTGTCCCTCATAAGCACCCTTCCATATATGGAAAATTCCAACAGAAAATTCCAATTATATACTCAACATCATTCCATATTTTAATGATTTTTTTTTGTTGCTCAAAAGCTCCCTTCCATATACGGAAAATTCCATTTATTTAGGGAACATCCTTCCATATTTTATTGATTTTTTTTGTCGCTCAAAAGCACCCTTCCATATACAGAAAATTCCATTTATATACGCAACATCCTTCCATATTTTATTGATTTTTTTTTGTCGCTAATCAGCTCCCTTCCACATACTGAAAATTCCATTTATATATGCAACCTCCTTCCATATTTTGTAGATTTTTTTTGTCCCTAAAAAACCCCCTTCCATATACGGAAAATTCCATTTTTATAAGCAACATCCTTCCATATTTTATTGATTTTTTGGTCCCTGAAAAGTGGGAGTGAAATAACCATCTGTTTTTTCAGGCCACTTTTGACCCCCCTCCTTTCTTGTGTAAAAAGGGCAGATGAATGCTAATATTTCATAATATTTTTTAGCGCATTTTCAAAATTTTTCAAAAATAAAAAACTTTTAAACACAATCTTTTTAAAATTTTGATCATTCATAAACCTTCCCTGGGGTCATGTGAGGTCCCACAAAAAATTTGAGCCCGATCGGTTCAGCCGTTTTGACGTTTATTGGATACTAACAAACAAACAGACAGACAAGCCAAATTTATTTATTGATATACACATATAGCATATATATATGTAACTTTCCCCCCCTCCCAAATATATATATATATATTTGTGGTTTTGCCCTTAAGATTTAGTTACTTAGAAATACTTGACCATTACAGATGCTTGGATTTATAAATAATGGATTCTACAAGTCAAAAATAGGAAACGGGTCTCTGTTATTGTGAAGTGTAGTGTAGTTTACAAAGGTAGTAAAGGGGGGTACAATATATTTAATTGTTTTTTTAGACCTGATGTTGTTGTGAGGTCTGACATTGATTTTCAAAGAAATCAAAGTGGTGACGGCTCAGTTGAAACTAGTTCAAGTGATTTAAGAAATCTAAGTGGTGGCGTGGCGGCTCAGTTGAAAGCAGTTCAAATAATTTACAAATAAATCTAAGTGGTGGTGACTGAGCAGTTGAAAGCAGTTCAACTAATTTACAAATAAATCTAAGTGGTGGTGACTGAGTTGAAATTAATTCAAGTGATTTTGAAAGGGTGGAAATACGTAATGCATTTGATGGAGTAATAAGGTAGAATATATAAATCTCAAAGTGTGTATGTGTGTGTAAAAGTTCATGTATTACTCCAGACGTGTGTGAGTATAGATGTGTTTAAGATGTAAGAGTGAGTATAGATGTGTGTTTTTTACTTAAGTCAAAGGATAGAGGTTAGTCGAAGAGGGGGTGCTATGGAAATGCCTCAACACGGAAATGCCTCAAAAAAAAAGCGGAAACCCCTCAAAAACCGGTTTTTTTTGAGACGTTTCTGCAATTTCTGCAAGAAAAACGGAAATCCCTCAAAACCCAGTTTTTGAGGGGTTCCTCTTTATTTTGAGGCGTTTCCTAAAATTTTTGAGGGGTTTCCGCTTTTCACCTGACAATTATTTTTGAGGAATTTCCCAATATTTTTGAGGGATTTCCCAATATTTTTGAGGCATTTCCGCAAAATTTTTGAGGCGTTTCCGTATTTTTTAAAACCTGATTTAGTTGAGGTGTTTCCTCTTTTTTTTGAGACGTTTCCGTTTTTTTTTTTTAGCCGTTTCCGTTTTTTAAAAAAGTTTTGAAACTTTAGTTTGTTGAGGCGTTTCCTCTTTTTTTTTTGAGGCATTTCCGTATGTTTAAAAACTTCATTTAAAGGATTTGAGTCTTTGCAACAAACTCAAATTTTCCAATCCCAATATCTATCGAACTTGATGGTGTACATCTTAAATATTTCAAGCTTAGATTATAAGCTCTAGCAGAATTAATAGTTTGAAATATCAAAGGTCTACAACATTTGGTTGCAAAGAAATAGAAGTTAGAAAATCAGAGTCTGTGGCTAAGACTCAATTCCTTTGTGAGTGGTTTCCGGTTTTTTATACACTTCATTAAATTGAGTTTTTTCTATTTTTTTTGAGACGTTTCCGCAAAATATTTGAGGTTTTTCCGTATTTTTTGAAAACTTCATTTAGTTGAGGTTTTAACTCTTGTTATTTTGATGAGTTTTTGTTGAAAAAAAAAATTTTCAAAGCTTCAATTATTTCGATTTCTCTTTTTCCTTACGGGTTTCTAGAAGTTTTGGAAGAGTTTGTCTTTTTAGATAACTTCTTAAATTCATTATAGAGGAGACTTATCAGAAAATTCCGTTTCTGTTTTTTCAATAAAGGCTTTTAAAACATAAAGTTGAGACATTTCCGCACATTTTTCCGAACAGTTTAGAGGAGTTTCCACAATTTACTTTAAAAAAAAATTGAAATTTCATTTTAATTTTTCAAAAAAATTGTACATCATTTTTTTATTCTCGTACTATTATAGTATATGAATAAAAATCAATAAAGCAATGCACTGAGTTTCTCAAATATTCAACGCGTCGGTTTTTCTTACAATATATTTATATACAAAAG